CTTACTTTATTTTATTCCCATTCCATCATAGATCAACGCATAGAGCATGCCTCATTGTCACGGTCTGTTGCCATTAGATTAAACATGTATAATGCACCTCTCTGTTTTAAAATAGATACTTAATTAGGCCCTTAGTATCAAGAAATCATAGGCTTTTCCATAAACCCATGTCGACTGTGTGTTCTCTGAACGCACTGGGTGGTTAGCCTTTGGTAAGCGGATCCGCAAGTACTTACTCGGTACTTATGTGCTCAATGCTCTCAAAATGATTCTGAATTTTCTCCTTTACAACATATACCTTAGTGTCAATGTGTTTGGCAGCACACTTAACTTGTTGTCTTCGGAGTTAACTTACTTTAAATGGTTATTGATGTTGTCTACCATTGTTAAATCCGGGTATAAATTCCCTTAACCTTCTTTTGTCTGTTCCTTAAGCCTCATGTCAAGCTATTCTATGGTATGCATCACTGATGACACCACAACTGTTTCTTTGGAGCTTTTTCCACAATAATACTCCAACTGCGAGTGTTAGCATCTGCAGTGGGTTTTACTACACATCTCGCCAAGACTTAACTTTTGTACCCTCAACTATTTAAGAGTTCTTATTCTTTCTTACTCAGCATGAGGCCTATAACACTTTACAAAAATTGCAAGACATTCTCACCTCAATTCCAGTGATCTATATCTGAACTGAACTTCTGTCAAAATATTCCGAATACATAAACTATGTTAGGGTAAGTTCTTACTTGTACTTGTACACACATCAAGCTTTCAACAGCTGAAGCATATGGAACCATATTCTTTTCATAGATCTCATATCGGTTCCTAGAACACTTAAAGTTCTCAAAACTATTATCCTTGACTATAGGAGCAGGCGTAGGTTTACTCGCATACATACTTTATTTCTTTAGAATCTTTTTTAAGTACGTCTTTGCGATAGTTCTAATACCCCATTTCTATCTATCGCGATGAATTTTGATTCCTATAACCAATGATGCTTCACCAAGATCATTCACATTGAAACTTGAGGACAAAACTTTTTCTTCTCCAATAACAGATTAACATCACTACTAGTGAGTAGAATATCATCTATTCACAGGATGTGAAAAATGAATTTTCTATTCTTGAACTTCGTATAAACGCTGTTGTCCTTCTTATTTTCTTTAAACCTAAACTTTTTTTTATCATTGTTTCATCAACTTCAAATACTACTGTCTAGAGACTTATATTTAACCCATAAATAGATTTCTACAGGCGACATCCCATATGTTCTTTTCTTCCACGACAAAGCCTTTTGGGTTGTGCCATGTAATCGTTTCATATAAATCCCCATTGAGAAATGCCATCTTTACATCCATCTGATGTAACTCTAAATTGTAATGTGCCATTAACACCATTATAATTCTAAACGAATCCTTACATAAGACTGGACAGAAAACTCTCATTGTAATCTATTAATTCTCTTTACGCAAAGCATATTGCCACAGGTCGTGCTTTATATCTTTCTACATTCCCTTTGAAGTCATATTTTGTCTTGTAGACCCAGCAACAACCTAATGTTTTGGCTCCATTAGGAATTACTTCTAAGTCCTAAATATCGTTAGTACTCATCAAATACATTTCAACTTTATATCTTTTTGCCATTTAAATGAGTAAACGCTTCTCATAACATCTTCAGATGAGGTGGGATCACCCTTCATTTGAATTTCTTTACTAACATAGACTTTATAGTCATCAGCAAACTGGTTTACTAATTCTTTGAGACCTTCTAGGGCCTCAGCTACTAGCACTTTCGTATGGGGTTGTTGTTGGCCTTCATTGCTAAGAGGCAATTGGTTCTACAGGCTCCTGTATTACAAGATCCTTGTTTACATTATTCATCTTCTACGAAGAGCCAACAACAGGTGTTGTATAGGTCATACAACATCAATAGGTATTGAGAAACTTCTTGCTCCTGAGTCACTGGAGTGGCCACACAGTCCCTCTTCTCTTCAAGTCTTAGGTCTCTACATACCTCTACATACCATGCTCCCCAAATCTTCTCATCTTTTCTAAAGATAGTGTATCTTCAAATATCTTATTTTGGGTTTAATCCGTTAAACTCTCATATGGCGCTTTAAGCACCACCTTAACATATTTGACGCTGACTACGCTATCTTTCTGTCGGAACTTTAAAAGGTCTAGGGATTTAGCTATTTCTCTGCTTAGGGGTATCATTATTATGACCGTTGTACTCCTCCGACAGTCGCATACATCTTAATTAATCTTTATCTTGCTCTTAATGAAGAGCATCTTTCTTAATTAAACTTGATATTCTCCCCCTCGAAATATGGCATGAACTTTACTGCCATAATTTTGATAACTATTCAGAAAGTCTGTAAACGAGAAGACACTTTTAACTTACTTCATTCACATGATTGTGTCATGTAAAACAAAGTTTTTTCTTGATCCGTTTAGGAGTAAACTTTCCTTCATTCACTTTAAAAAACTCAACGAGGTCTATCATTAGCAGTGCTTTTTGCAAGTCACACTTGCATCTTTTCTTATCTTTTGGTTAGTATTGACCATGACAATGTATTTCTATTGTGCCAAGGTCAATACTAGGACAGCATAAGAGCTACCCAAACTTCTCTCGCTATGCGGGATACAAAACATGTGAATTATCATAAAACGTCTTCCTCCATATAGGATTTACTAGCATAAATACTATTCCAAAACTTCTCCCCATACGGGATACATCTTTACAAAAACTTAGTCATGACGACTAAAACATTCAATTATACTTAATTTTCCAATTAAATTTTCCCGTTGTTTCCAATTTAATCAAAAAATTAGTAAACTAGCAAAAACTGTCCTGAACTGACTTGACTCAAGCCTTTTCATTCACATACCCCAGCATTGCAGCTCGTTAGCATGCAACCAAGTGATATCGTCGGTTAAATAAACAAGGTGCTTCTACATTAATTCTACATCACCGTTGGGCAGAAAATACAATTAATACATAAAACTCAGAAATTAACTTGAAATCAATATAACTACTCTTCAAAATTAAATTCTCCCGTTGGTTCGAATTTAATTAGAAGATAATCAACTTCATTGCAGCAGAAACTTAATAATGGAATACATTCTTTTAGTTTAGGAGCATTTCTTGGTCCTTATCTACTCTCTAAAAAATTTACCACGTTGGTGTAAAATTTATCAGAGATTTAAACTTTAAACATAAATTCATTATAATATTATCATCACTAACGTTGGTCAGAAAATGACAATACCATAATCTTACATAAACAAAAATGGGCTACTCCTCTAATTAAATTTTCCTGTTGGTTCCAATTTAATTAGGGGATCAACATAATCATAATTTACTAAATATAACTGCTCTTCAAATTAAATTCTCCCATTGGTTCGAATTTAATTAGAAGATAATCGACATTAAACTTTGCAGCGGAAACTTAAAGATAATTTATGAATTTTACCCACAGGAAAATTCACATTTCTTCTATTTTCTTTGAGCCATTTTTTATTTTCTAGAAATAACCATTTACTGGAAAATAAAAAAGGAAAAAACCTGGGCACAATCTTGACTGGTTCTCGGCCCAAAACGGCAAAAGCCGCCCGGCCCAACTCCCTTGCACGCGCGCTGCCCGCACCCAGGCCGCAACCTGGGCCTGGGCCAGCAAATCCGTGCGGCCGCGCGTGCCCGCTTGGGCCAGCCTTTGGTCTGGCTACTCTCCGCCGTCCATCTTGATCCGACGGCCACGCGTGCGTTTCGCTCGAACAAAACCGGCGACGGCTGACTCCCCCGGAAACCCAAGGTCATTCAGGTCTTCCTCTTCTCTCTCTGTCTCCCTCTCCTCTCTCGCGGCACAGTGGAGGGCCAGAGCGCAGCGATGGCTGAAGGAGAGTAATGGCGCCGCCGTAGGCCCCCTCTCCGGCGCGCGCGGTCACCCGAGGGTGAGCGCACCGCCGTCGAGCGGCCTTGCGGTGGTGCCCTGAACATGCGCGCGGCGCAGTGGAACGCCGGCGAGCCGGCGTGGCTCGGGTGGATTCCACGCGGTGGTAGGGTCACCTTCCCGCACGACGGTGGTGCGACAGCGACGCGCGTGCTCCCAAGCGTGGTGGAGCGCCGAGGTAGGCCTCTTCCCCTTTCCCTCTTCTGTCTTTGGATCTTGCTGTGTTCTTCTCGGTTCTTTGCCGATTCGGGATTAGGGTTAGGGTTAGGGTTCAAACCTTCTGTCTCTTTGCTCCTTCCCCTTCCCCAGTCGCAGATTCGGCCGGTTAAGGTTAGGATGAATCCACTGTTCATCTTCCTCGCCTTTTGAACCCACACGTCGGCGTCTCATCGGCGAGCAGTGGCTCGACTACCCGCACGGCGTTGGAACTTTCTTTCCACGCAGCGGCGGTGCGAAGACGGTGGAGAAACCCTGGTAGGTCCTACCCTTTCCATCCTTGGTTTTCTAGGGTTAGGGTTTGGTTAACCCTTATGCCTCGAACCGAATTGGATCTCTCTCAACTTGTTCTAAACTGTTACTACCCCGATCTAGATCTACTCACTAGAAAAACTTTGGCTCCGATACCATTGTTAGCGTCATAGTACCTCTAAATCGTAGATTAGGGGATAAATTCTTACTTAGATAGGGAAACTGTTTATGTACCTCGCCCTCACCCTAGTACAGTTGGGTCCATGGTGAGCAGCAATGTGGACGCTAGTGTCATGGCAACGTAGGCGCAGTGGTGGCGTTGCAGAGGCGACAATGAGGTTGGTGGCGGCTTCCCGTCACTGGCAGCACGCTCTCCTTTGATCGGATTAGGGTTTTTGTTGGGTGCGGGTTGCGGCGGCTTAGGTCAACCTTGTGGATAGAGCCCTGGCCCCCACCTCCCTTTATGGTGCTGTGCAATGGGGGCCCACCAACCATAGAGCGGTTGAGCGCCCTCGATCAGGGCGCTGATCCAAGGGCTCAATTGGCCATTGGGCCAATTGGTGAAGATCAAACTAAAAGTTATATCGCGCGCGGCACGCAGCGCGGGAGTAGGTCAGCGAGGTGGTTCCACGCGTAGTTGAGCGGCGCCTCGAGCGCGGTGCACACGGACACGGAGATGAGCCCGGCGATCGCGTCGGCGTGGAACGGGTAGATCTCGAACCGTAGGGACGGGAAGGAGGCGGCCACGGCGGCCCAGACTTCAGCGACGGTCGGAGCGCCGCCGCCATCCGCAGCGAGGAAGTGGAAGAAGACCGACTCCGGGCAGGAGGCATGCTTGAGCAGCAAGTAGATGGCCGCCATGGAGCCCCTGAGGTAGTGCGCGTCGAGCGTCATGGCGATGTGCACCAGGCCCGGTCGTAGACCCCCGTGCCCACCACCTGGGTCGGGCACCCCTCCCCGCTCCTGTACTCGGGCGCCTCGGCGAACCTCGACAGCTGTAACACCCCTGGTATTACGAGCTCGTTTAGCACCGCGATTTAGGCCTAAGAGAAATTTCCAAAACGAATTTCTCGGATTTTGATTTAAAACGTACTCGACGTGATGAGTGAATCCTGTGCGACTTAATTTTTGTGGACTCGAATCAACGCCCAAGTTAAATTACTCGGTGCGTAAAGATATTTAGGGATGTCGAACGACGATGCTAGCGAACGGTTTGTTCTGTTAGATTAAGCATGAAAAGCAACTTTTATAAATAGAATAAAATCCATTAATAAATAGAACAATATATATATACTCATATAGAATAAAATCCATTAATAAATAGAACAATATATATATACTCATGAGTTTATTTTGTTAAGCATGAACTGACGAGAAAGAGAGCGCAACAGTTTCGTTTATTTTTCTGGCATATAGCGTACTCGCCTTGCTTTGCAATTATGCACCCTCTCGTCTTCCGTCGTGGCTCTGCACCCCGACGCGTCCATTTGCCTGTGCTCCTGTCTTCTCTCCCTCGCTTGTGTCATATCTAGATTTTAATGAGAGCACGTGGTTCTGCCCCTGCCACGTTGTGTCCTCTCACCTTCCTGCGTTCGCCGTTTTTGGCCACGTTGTGCCGTCCCATCCTCCTTCCCTTGGCGTGCTTGAAATTGGTGGTGAACCCGCACGCGTCTCCCTGCTTGGTACGTCTGGACCTACCTCATTTCCTCTCCTCCTGGCGGCGTTCACCATCCATGTCTGTGTCTGTCTGCCTTTGTTGTCTGCTTGCCTGCCTCTACGGTCTCATCTTTGCTTATTACTGGACGAGCGCAGTGGCCACGTGCGCATGCCTTCTGGCGCGCCTACCTCTGTCCGCTTGGCCCTGCTGCTTTGATTTGATGCATCACGCAGTCCTTCCCTATTTGTTCACCTGCTGAGCCACGTGCTCACGGTCGCTGCCGATTGGTCCGCTCCGCCTTCAATCGCCGAGTTCGCTCGTGTGTTTCCCCCATCGATGCACCGTGCCTAGAGCCACCCTTCTTCCCTCCCTGCTCGCTCGCGCTCTCAGCCTCTCTGCTTGCTCTGCCGAGACATGCACTGCCATAGCTGTGCCCAACCGTCGTCGGTCACCCTCTCGGGGAGCGCAGCGCGTGCGCCCCTCGGCCCCTCCCACGCTGGTCTCGCTGCTTTTCGGCACGACCGTACCACGGCCGCCACCACCATCTCCTCACGCGCCGCCATGGCCTCGCGTCGTATCGCAGCACCGGCGTCCCTCTCTTCCCTACTCCTCCGCCGCTGCATGGCCGCCCGTGCTACTGCCGCGTCGCCTTGGCTTTCCCCCGTGCGTGAAGCTCCTCGGCCCGTTCACCGAAACCCCGCGTAGCTCCGCCTGCCAAGCCCGCGCGCGACTTCCTTCCCCTCCTTGCGAGCGCTGCTCCTCCTCGCTCCTCCTCTGTTGTGGCAGCGTGTGGCCGCTGTGCCCCGCCCCGGTCCGCGCTGGATTGGCGGCTCCATAGCGCGGCTCTGTCTCACGTCCTCTCCTCTGCGCACAGCGGCGCCCCTCCTTCTTCCTTCCCCGCGAGCGAGCCCCAGCCCGCGCTGGTCCACTGCTCCACGCGCCTCCACCGCCATCCCCTGCCTAAGCCAGGCTCACCTTCGCCCTCTACGCTGCCCCTACCGCGTTCCCACGCCACTTCACGCAGTGGTCTTGGCCACCGTTGCTGCGCCCCTCGGCCCGCTCCGGACCGCAGGCCCATAACGCGCCCGAGCCCTGTGTGCTCTGCATCACCTCCTCGTCATGGCCAGCACGTCGTCCGGGAACGCCGTCGCGCCATGGCTATGACCCGTAGAGCCCAGCCACTGTCCGCTGTCGTCGAGTGCCCCTGCCGGCCATCAACGCTCGCGGCTGGTCCATCTTGGGATGTCCCTAGCCTTGTCGCCATCACCTTCTGGTGTGGCAGGTACCTCGCTGCCCCCACGCGATGACCCACGATGGCACCACCACCGGTGCACCGCTCTCTTGGCCGGTGGATGGCCTCCACTGCCGGTGCTCTGCCTTTGAGGATGAAGAGAAAGGTATAAATCCAAGCAAAAATTTTATACAGGGTCTTTACTGCGAAATACATGACTCATTTAAATAGGACTCTAGACCTAGGGTTGAATAGAGAAAAACGCAGGTCGGGTTTTGCAAAATTGCCCGGTGGTTGGGGCTTAGCGCCGCACTTATTTGGCCGCCCTTGTGTGCCGCCTTGCTGGGCCACCAGCCTTGTTGTTGTCCTTCTTTGGGCGCTAAGCGCCGATTGGGCGCCTGCCTGCCAGGCTGGCTGCTGTGGTAATTTCTTTGGTCGAGCGAGCCAGCCGCGCTCGGGCCCAAGGGTCTTTTCTTCTTTCTTCGGTATTTTGTTAATATTAGTAATCGACTGAATGTTTGAAAATTCATAGTAAATAGTAGAAAATCATAAAAATACCAAACCATGTCTGTTAAGTTTCTAAAATCATGGTCTATCTGATAGGGTATTTCGTTCACATAGGTTCCATATGTTATTAGGGTTGCTCTAATTATTTTAAAGTGTTTAATATTATTAAAAGGTGAACTTGTAGGAATTTCCATGATTCTTTGGTAATAGTGTTGGATCTAAAATTTTTACGGTAGGCTCCTAGCAATATTAGATACTCATTGTAATTTTTGTAGCTCCGGAATAATTAGTTTGCTAAATAAATAATGATGTCCTGGTTTGAATATATATTAAATCGATAGAATGAAATAAAGAAACAACTTGGGTTTATATAACTAAAATATTTGTTGGGAAATAACGCCTTATCCAACCACGTGTATATGTAGCCTAAGTATGGTCGTCGTTAGAACTAACTCGTTAGCTTGTGAGGCGTGATCGGAATTCTAAGCGTACGGCTGTCATTCGTTATTTATATCTATGCATTTACATCAATACATATCATATAGGTACGATGATGGATCAACGAATCAATTGAAGGATGATTGGGAACCTGAGGATATGCATTTACATCAATACATATCATATAGGTACGATGATGGATCAACGAATCAATTGAAGGATGATTGGGAACCTGAGGATGGTGTAATGGTATTCTCTCCAGGAGATGATGCAATGGGCTTTCTATTCAATTGATGGTGGATGATCTGAAGATGCAAATACTAACTTTTAATATATATCTTACTTAGGCAAGCCCCGGTGTATAACCCCTGTTTTTCTGTAGTTTAAATCATATTTGTGCATTAAGTTAAGGAGTTGAATGAAACCCACTTGCATATATATCTTTATCCTATGAGTCTTACTAGTATGATAGGATCGTGTAGATTGCTATGCTACAGGACTCTGGTTGAAGTTGGGCGATGGCTGTCACTCGCGAGAGATAGGAAATATATTATTGAATTATTATCACTTGGAACATATAAAAATGGTGGAAAGGAAAATTATGACCGGGTAGGGATATGGTTTGGGTATTGGTGGGTGTAAGAGATTGTGTCGCCGTAGACGTGGGGCTTGGCTTGGTTACACTGCTTTCTCTGTTTGTGTCGGTTAAGGATCAACCGTTGCATAAGTCTCGAGGCAAGTCACAGATTTATTATCCCGAGCACATACTTGTGTATGGGCGCTTGGAGGACTTATTGCTCTCTTGTCATGGATCCGGCTCTTTCCGGACCGACTGTCTTGGTGGTTTTTGGGTTAGGAGGTCCTTGCACCGCACTGAGTCCAGGACTCAGGGGCGGGGGCTTAGAGTCCTAGTTTGGACGGGGACCTGGACACCCAGGACAGGAGGGTGATGGGTTGGTCCTGCTTGTGCCCGGGGTATAAGCGGGGCGTGTATTTTTGGGGTACCCAGCTGGGGGTATTGATTCGCAAATCGCGGGGCAATCTGGTACGGCTTGTTTTTGGGCCTAGCACCGTAGTAAGAACTGAAAGATGGAAGATGAAAAAAGGAAATCTGATTGCTTACCACCTGCTTGAAAGTAGCACAGATGCTTACATAAAATGGGTAGTTAATGAACCAATGCGGCTATTAATAAAAATCAAATATAAGGACGCACGCTTAGTAATGCTTCCTACAAATGCAATAAACCCACAAGCCATATAGCCTTGCATATCCTTGGAGTCTTTTCTTTCCTTCTGTCGGGTAAGTCTTGCTGAGTACAATTGAGTACTCAGGGTTTTGTTCCCCATGTTGCAGGTGACAGGTGGAGGCTAGAGCTGACTCTTGTGTATGGACTCCTCCTGGTGGGCTCAGCGAGGATTTCTTTACGCTGCGATCGTAGTTTTTATTTACTAAATGTTTTTATAAACGAAAGTTTTATAATCTGTTGTCATAGTTTACATATCAATGTTTCATCATGCCATGAATAGACAATTATTTCCGCTGTAATTCTGATCACATGTTTATATTCCGTTGTTACATTAAATTGTTCATAACTCTGATAATATGATTACATTCCGCTGTCATAATAATAAATGTTATACTCTGATGTACATGTAAAGTGATGTAAAAAATGGTTAAGAATGATGTAAGCTTTATTCTCTCATTTGTGATCCTGATGTAAAAATGTGGATTTTCGGGTTCTCCTCTAGGGTGTGCCTGACGGGACCGAGTAATTTAGTGTTCTCCTTCGAGTGCTTAGTGTCTAATAGAAGACAAGCACTCCTGGGAGGCATTAGATTAGACGGTTCTGCCACAGGTGGTATCAGAGCGCAAATGAGAAAATAAGGCTTCGAAAATCTTTTCTAAACTAAAATTTGACAACCTATTTTTGCAAAAAGAATAGGACGTTTGCATGCGAAGTTATATAAGTAGCATTACTATTATGATTATGTATCCAGGATAGATGGCACTTTGTTGACTTAGATAGGCTTAATCAAGTTTTCTGTAGGTACACTAACCCTGAGCATAGTCCGATAGTATCGACTAGCTACAGCGAGAGAACGATGTGTCAAAAATTTAAGCACGGTTGCCCTATATGCTGGCAACAGGGAAATGACGTGTAGGACGTGCATTCATGCATATCCTGCGGGTGCATTGTAGTACTCGTATTACTTGCAGATACGCCATCTATAAGTGTCACGCGTGTCGTTTTGTGCAAGACTGACTCGTTTCTGTTCCGGAGTTAGGTCTGCACTGTAGCTTCATGCTTTTGACGCCTAGTGGTTTGATTTTCGTTTATGAACCCTGACCTCGGCGCCATAGCTTTTGACGCCGAGGAAACACGTCTCGGCGCCATGGCCAATGGCACCGAGGTCTTGGCGAGGCGTCGGACGTGACGGTGACCTGACGCCGACGTCGATAAGGCCTCGGCGCCATAGATCTTGGCGCCGAGCTCGGCGCCGTAGATCTTGACGTCGAGCTTTTACCCTATAGATCTTGGCGTTTAAAATGAAACAAGTATAATTGTTCCGAGGAACATGCAACAACATCATTGTGGTTCAGCTGGTTAGGTCGCGTGCGACTTAGCTCAAAGGCCTGGGTACGAACCCGAGTGTTGAATCTTTTTTTGCTACATTTTTTGGCTTCCTGACTCAGTCGCTCTGTCGCTCTCTTCTCATATCATATCAAACACAGCATAACCATCATGTGCAAGCTAAGTGCAGCAAGGTTTCCTGACTCCAGCACTGATTGGGTCGATTCCATCCAACTGAGCTGACACGCACAGTAGGAGTATAGTATTACGAGTATGTGTCATGTGTGCACATCTGGATTCGTACATATATTTGCAGTAAAAAAAACGGAGAGACGACGACACCGATCGATGGTCCAGTCTCTAGCTATAGCAGGCTGATTAATTGTAAGGACGACGGACAGCGACACGGACGGTCGGACGTCGTTTTTCTCCGAGACTCCAAGGGCGCGGCAGCTGCCACGTTTGTTTAATAACGGGCCACGCACTTCACGGGAGCCAAAGTTTAGAATCTTTTTGCTGTTTCCGGCTCACAAGTCGCCATAGTACTCATTGTTATTTCTTTGGGTTCCCGTCGCCATATGCATGCATGAATTATTGCTACGTACTTATTTATTCTCCGGTACCCATTACAAAAACCCGGTTTAAGACAAGCTAAGGGTCCATTATTGATTCCCATCGACATTATTGGTATGATTAAATGTTGGACCCAAGGTTTGGATTCCAACTTGCCCAAAAATGCTTATAAAAATATAGCAAAAAAAGATTTAGTGCAGGGTTTGAACCCAGGCCTTTGAACTAAGTCACGCACATCCTAATCAGCTGAACGCAATGGCTTTGTTGCATGTTTCTCGGAACTATTATACTTGTTTCATTTCAAACGCCAAGATCTGTAGGGTAACAGCTCGACGCCAACATCAACGGCGCCGAGCTCGGCTAAGATCTATAGTGCCGATGCCTTATCCACGTCCGACGCCTCGCCAAGACCTCGGCGCCATTGGTCATGGCGCCGAGACGTGTTTCCTCGGCGTCAAAAGCCATGGCGCCGAGGTCACGGTCCATAAACGAAAATCAAACCACCACGGGTCTATTTATGAATATTTTTTTTAAAAAATGGCTGAAAAATAAAAACTTCGGCTCAAACGCGGCCACAGGCCCATGTGACTGACTAGAATAACAAATTCTCGCGCGCAGGTGCAGCCCGCACCGTCGCACTGGTATATCACCCGGGACAAGACAACGTCCTCTCCCTCCCGCTGATCCCAAGCCTCGGGGTTGGCAGCCGCCACTCGGCCGTGCGTGCAGGTGCAGGCACCCTCACAAGGCAATGTCCCGATCCCGAGAGTAGCTAGAGATCACCGCCCGTTCTGCACTGGCGCGGGGAGCGCGATTCAGGCGAGATCGTCGAGCATGAGGGCGTGCGCGCTCTCCCTCGTCCTCCTCGCCACCGCCGCGTTCTTCCCACTCTCCACCTCAACCGACACCATCGGCCCGTCCGAGTCCGTCACCACCGGCAATAACGAGACGCTCGTCTCGGCCGGTGGCGTCTTCCAGCTCGGCTTCTTCAGCCCGGACGATGATGGCGCCAGGACGTACCTCGGCATCTGGTACTACAACATCACGGTGCACACCGTGGTGTGGGTCGCCAACCGCCACAGCCCAGTCCGCAGCACCCCGGGCGTGCTCCGGCTCTCCGCCGACGGCCGCCTCGTCATCCTCGACGGCCAGAACGGCACGGTGTGGTCCTCGGCGGCGCCGACCAGGAACGTGACCGCCGGCGCCACCGCGCGGCTCCTGGACAGCGGCAACTTCGTCCTCAGCGCCGACGGGAGCGGCTCCGACTCTGACCAGAGCGTGGCGTGGCAGAGCTTCGACTACCCGACGGACACGCTGCTCCCGGGCATGAAGCTCGGGGTGGACGTCAGGGCCAGCATCACCCGGAACATCACGGCGTGGCGCGCCGCGTCCGACCCGTCGCCGGGCGACGTCACGTTCAAGCTGGTCACCGGCGGGCTTCCGCAGTTCTTCCTCTTCCGTGGCGACGCGAGGCTGTACACGAGCGGGCCGTGGAACGGCGAGATCCTCACCGGCGTGCCGTTCCTCGAGTCGAACGACGACTTCACCTTCATGGTGGTGTACAGCCCCGACGAGACGTACTACAGCTACTCCGTCGGCGGCGACGCGCTGCTGTCGCGGCTCGTCGTGGACGAAGCGGCGGGGCAGGTGCAGCGGTTCGTGCTGCTCAACGGCGGGTGGAGCAACTTCTGGTACTTCCCAATCGACGCGTGCGACTCCTACGCCAAGTGCGGGCCGTTCGGGTACTGCGACAACACCGGCCAGTCCCAGGCCTGCGTCTGCCTCCCGGGGTTCCAGCCACGGTCGCCGCAGCAGTGGAACCTCCGCGACGGGAAGGCCGGGTGCGTGAGGACGACCAGCCTCGGCTGCGGCGGCGGCGGCGCGAACGCGAGCAGCGACGGGTTCTGGGTCGTCAAGCGGATGAAGCTGCCGGAGGCCACCAACGCGACGGTGTACCCCGGCATGACGCTGGAGCAATGCCGGCAGGCGTGCCTCAGCAACTGCAGCTGCCGGGCGTACGCTGCGTCGAACGTCAACGGGGGTCTCAACCGCGGCTGCGTCATCTGGGCCGTCGATCTGCTGGACATGCGGCTGTACCCGACGGACGTTCAGGATGTCTACATACGGCTCGCGCAGTCGGAGATAGATGCGCTCAATGCCGCAGGTTCGGACTCTGACGCAATCTTTTTATTTTTGGTCACATACTACTTCTTTCAATTCAGTACAAATTTAGTACAATTTCAGTCAGTTTTTATGATCTTATAATTGCGCGATTCTATGCGTCAGTACAAATCTATATGAATTTTGTACATCCTTGCTAGGAACCTTACATGACAGATGTAGAAATGTAAATTGGAGCATACTGTTGTGAGACTTGGTTGAGATATCTCATCTCCGTAGCTGTCGAGATTAATTGGCCCCAGTGTCCCATCATCCGCCTAATTATAACTCGCCTAAAACGATCACGTCACAAAACAGCGTGTGCACTAGTTGAATTCTGCAGCACGCTCTTGTGCTGCTTTTCTTCGTCACCTTCTTTCCGCGCGTTCGGCTGGCTGGCCGCGTTCGGCTGCGCTGGCCAGCGCTCTTAGAAAACACTGTTCATATGAACAGTGTTTTCAGTCGGAACAATATTTTTTCCTCACACCAATCAGCCGGAACAATATTTTTGCTTATTTTTCAGTCCTGCCGAACAGCCCATTTGTCTCCTAGGCTTGTCCTGCCTCCTCTTTGCTTCTGTGCTCTGTAGTTTTAGCGCCTTTTTTCTAATCTGAACCGCTTGTTTCGTTTCAATTTATGCTGTAGGGGTGTAAACCCCTCCAGTTTCGTTCAAAAAAAAATTCTCGGTCAAGAATAGGCCACTCATAGAAGAAAGTATCACTGGCCACCACTTCCATTCTGAAAACCACACTGGAATGCTGCATACTCCCTCCATACTAAAAAAATAAAGTTGTTTTGGACAGCGACACGGTCTCCAAATCATAACTTTGACTGCTTATTTTTATAAAGATATTTATCAAAAAGTGATATATGTAAATTTTTGTGAAAGTATTTTTCAAGACAAATCTATACATATGGTTTTCACATTTTCAAACTCAACAACTTAAAAGTTATTCATGATTTATATTCATAATGTTTGACCCAGGCCTTATCCAAAACAACTTTATTTTTTTTAGTACGGAGAGAGTACACATTTGAGAAAAAAAGAAAACTTGGACAGAGTATTCTGTTCCCCGACCCAGACGCATTTGTTTTGATATATGATAGAGCAGGCAATTCAAGGATCACCTTTGAATGGAAGCAAAGTGGCATGCATGGGTCAACTATCAAAACGTAGCTTGGCCAAAAACCGTGGCAGCACTTAGTTTTCCATGCATCACAGTCGCTTGGTTTGGTACGGTGCAGTCTACCGGAAAACATCACTGGACGAGCTATCGTCCAACACCACCCAAATTGATAATGACACATTGAAAGTTATCTAGATATCATAAACTATACAGCGGCGACTGTTTTACATCGACCACATGCATGCATTTCTAGGTACGATTATTCTTAACAGGTGGTAGAAATACGAACATTTTTTCTAGTGGTAGCAGCGGCAAAAAATCCTAAAGCATTCAAAGGGATACATCATGCATGCATGTTTCTAAGTAAGTGGAACCAAAGCTTTGGTATTTTTCTAGTCTGAAACTTTTGCACGCTCGCATATTGACTAGTCGCATGCAGAACACAGTGTTAGGCCGGTTCACCACCTAACGTTTTGCCGATTGCCGCTGCTTGTTTTCCAGCGAGACACCGGGTCCCGAGCAAGCGCGTGGTGATCGGCGTCGTCGCGGCAGTTGCCGGCGTGCTTCTCCTGCCGTCGGTCGTCTGCTGCTGTGTCTGGAGGAGGAGGAGGAAACGTCACGGCGAGACCGATCACCACGACGCGCTCCCGTTCAGGGCAAGGAAACAGCAAGCGTTGGACGAGGACTGGAAGAGTGCCGAGAAAGACGTCGACGACCTGCCGTTGTTTGATCTGGCGGTGGTCCTGGCCGCCACGGACAGTTTCTCTGCGAGCAACAAGATTGGCGAAGGAGGGTTTGGTCCTGTTTACATGGTAAGAACGATAGGAAGGAGTGTGATTATTAACAGTAGGATGATAAAACCTGAAAATGGTAGAATAATCTGAAAAAGGGTTTGTCAGCCGATTGTCCCTGATTTCTAACGGGATGCTGGGACCTGCGAACTGTTGAACAGGGAAAGCTTGAGGACGGGCAGGAAGTAGCCGTGAAGAGGCTGTCCCGGAGATCGATGCAAGGGGCGGTGGAGTTCAAGAACGAGGTGAAGCTGATCGCCAAGCTTCAGCACAGGAACCTCGTGAGGCTGCTCGGCTGCTGCATCGACGAGGAGGAGAGGATGCTCCTGTACGAGTACATGCACAACCAGAGCCTCGACACGTTCATATTTGGTCAGTTTGACATTGCAGAAACATATATCTATCTGCCCAACAAGTTTAGTTTACTGAATTGTACTTGCATAGAAATGCTATAATGCTAATGGTTATGCGTTGTGCAGATGAAGGAAAGCGGATGTTGCTAAGGTGGCAGAAACGCTTTGATATCATTTTGGGGATTGCGAGGGGTTTACAGTATCTGCATGAAGACTCAAGGTTCAGGATCATCCATAGGGATCTCAAGGCTAGCAACGTGTTATTGGACAGAAACATGGTCCCCAAAATTTCAGACTTCGGCATCGCAAAAGGATGTTCGGAGGTGACCAGACCACAGCATATACATTGAAGGTCATTGGAACATAGTAAGTTCTTTCTTGATCTCCTGGTCCTATGGCCCCAAATTATGGACATTCAAACTGACATGAGAGACGGTTTTGGTTTTCAGCGGCTACATGTCCCCGGAATATGCGATGGATGGCGTGTTTTCCATGAAGTCCGACATCTACAGCTTCGGCGTGCTGGTTCTAGAGATCATCACTGGCAGGAGAAACCGAGGCTTCTACGAAGAAGAGCTTGATCTCAACCTCCTCCGTTATGTAAGTACTACAACTGTAAGCAGCACAATTTGCATGCTGTTTCTTTCTGAACATTTTTATCTAACCATGCTGGTCTGGTCATTTGTCCTTGTCCAGGCGTGGATGATGTGGAAAGAAGGCAGGAGCGTCGATTTGGTGGACACGGTCATGGACGGCAGCGGCGTCAACTACAGCGAGGTGCTGCGATGCATCCAGGTCGCCCTCCTGTGCGTCGAGGTGCAGCCCAGGAACAGGCCCCTGATGTCGTCGGTCGTCATGATGCTGGCCAGCGAGAACGCGACGGTCCCTGAGCCGAACGAGCCCGGGGTGAACATCGGGAATAAGAACACGTCGGACACGGACTCGTCTCATGGCCTCACGGCCAACAGCGTGACCATAACCGCAATTGACGCTAGGTAGCTTCGGTTTGCATGCCCTCACCTGCAGACCACCGGTGGTGATTCTTTTCTGGGTGCTCTTCTACTAAGCCCTGTTCGCTTCTTTTATAAGCCGTACTTTTCAGCTTGTTTTTTCAGTCGGAACTGTGTTTTTCTCTCACGATAAATTAGTTGGGACATGGCCGTAGTCTGTGCCTCGTATTGTGTACGTAGCTTTTGTACAGTACATCAAAGGTTTCCGTTGTCACAAAGGCCTGGCTCTCTGTTTTTTTAACCACTAGCCACACTCGAAACCCTCCTGTAAGATGTAAAGTTCAGAGCTTGTAAAGATTTATTTACATTCAATAAGTCACCCGGTTCAATTTATTGACAGAAACGAGTGCATTTTTCTTCCATGTACGTACTGTCTTGCAAACTTTAGCAGCTTCACTTTCAATTTGGGGGCGTGTACCGTGTACGTGAAGTCTGCGAGACAGTTTCTCTCCATCACCTTCGTAACCTCAACCCGCTCGGCAGCTGCTCCTATCGTTAGGTCGTGTTCCGGCGTTCCGCTGGCCGCCGCCAGTCTGGACGTGGCTGTAAATCCAACGAATGATTGTTTGACGACTGACGAGTCACACACTCACACGGCATAATCGTTGCTTACTAGTACCAAGTCATCGCGCGCGGTCGACTCGTGCACGTCGATTGAGATGCGAGCCCCGCGGACAGTAGAGAATTCTTCGTTGGCGATGCGTCGGTGAGACCGTCTCTGATGGTCGCACGCCCTAGCGCTACGCGGCCACGGGTTGGACTGAAGCATAGATGAATCCGTGAACACAGTTTTTCCTGCGCAACTAATAAAACAGTTATGTGCCAAGAGGGCGCGTTCAAGGAAAAATAATAATTTATTTTTTCTTCTGATATTCCATACCAAAGAAAACAAAAGGAAAAAAAGGTTATGCTAGCGCCCGGATGTCCGTCCGCAAGCACGCTACCCATGTGCTGCTGTGCTTGATGCGCCCCACACCTCCTCTTGTTTTTTTTTTAACATGCGCCTTCTCTTGCTGTTGCGCCTGCACGGGAGAGCATGTGCATAGGACCCACCCAGTTGCATGAGAGAGAGAGGGAGCACAGCACATACCCATGTGTTGACCTGATTGTATGCTACACCGTGGGGGCCACGCCTGGTAGTGTAGGACGCGTGGTTCTACGTCCATTGGGTGTTGCGCTCTACATGCGCGCATGCACCTTGGGCGTATTTAGTTGAGACCCTAGGTGTCCTTTGCCTAGGAGGCAGGTTGCGTGGAAGCTGCCTGGATGGCGTTTGGATGCAACCCTGAAACACTGCCTGCGCCAGGCAGCGGTTCAAAGCCCAGGCGAGCAAAATCGTGTGCCTGGGTGCACCTGGGTTGCCTGGCCTGCAATCGTCTTTCATTCTACTATTAATTAATTAAATAATTATCCCTCAAAGTTCTATAGTATGTTTTAATGCCGTAAGGAACCTATTACTGCTAGTGCTAAGAGCGTTGCTGACTGGTAAAAGGATCTTTCCTATCCGACAAGACATTAAATTGCTGTTTTTTTCCTTTCATTGATATCGATGTTCATTTTATGGTTTAGGTTATGATTTTTTATTACTAATTTAAATCATTTATTTGTCTTCATATATATTATTTAAACAACATATATTAAATTTTTATTAGACAAGAAAGCATACTTTTATCTATTTCTCTGACCAAGGCATCAACCAAACACACTTCTTTACACTTGCATGGCTAGACAAATATTATCAACTTTTCAGACAACTCTCAGGCAACACTTTTTGCTAGGCAAGTTACCCAGGCTTCCAACCAAATAGGCCATTTGACCAGGGAATGTTCGCCCGTTTAGGTACTAACCGCTGGTTGCGTGCACGTTTGACTGTTGGAGCTAGCCCACATAACAGAGATAGGTGACGCTGGCTGGGTGTGTGGGGGTACGACCCCGGATACTCACGACAGATACATGGGCTGCGCTACCAGGGGCGGTTCAGCCCACAAGACGAAGACATACGGTGCACGGCATTGCTCGGCGTGTACTGTAAGGCATCAAGGGCGATATCCTGAAGATGCTACGAGATCTGTTAGGATACGTTCGATCCCATGATTCCTGTAATCTGTTATTACTTTTCGGTTATCTCCTAGATCTAACCGACTTGTAACCATATCCTCTGGCTATATAAGGCGGGTAGGGGACCCCCTCAAAAGACACGCAATATCATACGATAGCCAATACAAATCAATAGACCACAGGAGTAGGGTATTACGTCGTGCTGACGGCCTGAACCTGTCTAACTCTTGTGTCTCTGTTGCCTTCTTGTTCTTGATTACACGCATCTCTGTCGATCAATCTACCTTCATGGGATACCCCTCGGAAGACTGCCAACGATATTTTGTCGACAGTTGGCGCGTCAGTTAGGGGTGTGAGTGATGTTTCTATGACGAACAAGATGGTACGTTTTGCAGGCTCTTCGTCCTCTCCGAAGCCCGGCCAGATCCTTACGACCGGATCGATCTCCTGGGTCATCAATGCTGACGGAGACGAAGAGATCATTGAGCCGGTGTAGATCGATTCTGTGCCGACCACCCTTGCACCTGCAACGGCAGATCCAATCTCAGAACCGCCTCTGAGGTCGTCTTCATCAACAACTCACCGCCTGCTCCCCCGCTACCCGAGGAAGCAGATTGACAACGATGATCTGATCGCATCCATCGACCAGGTTGGCCAGAAGCTCATCGATTGCCTCTCCATCGTGGTATTGGCTCTGACCACTCTGGTTCAGCGCCGACCACCCTTCGATTCCGATCTATCAGAGGCTGATCAGGAAACTCTAGGGGTTACGACCGTCATCCATCAGGATGCCTTAAGGGGCAAATTTGTCGACCAGGTGGGAGACATCTATCCTCTCGTCGACCCGATCGCCTACCAGTTCTCGCCGACTGTGAATATGCTGCAAATCGGTCGATGTCCCGAAGCATCCCTCCACACCATCCTGGAGGAAAATCTAGACTCCGAGTCCAGTGCTCTACGAAGATTGTCGCCGAAACCCCCGCCATCCAACCTCCTTTCCCACCCTTCCAAGGAGGCGGGATTTTTAATGTCAGCGTCGATAGCCCTCCATGGGATGGAGAAACTGATGAGGACCGTGCAACTCGTGTCAATAGGAACACCAACCGTGCACAGCGCTGAGCAAATGAGGCCACCATTGTGCCAGCCGAAGCTGCTCGCAATAGAGAACAGCTCGTCTCGCAAGGGAGGCCACGCCCACTCCACCGCAACCTCGACGACGAATTCATCCGTGTCGACGGACACGATGTCTACAAGACTCTAAGCGCCAACTTGGCCGTGGCCGCTGATGAGCTCGCTCGACTCGAGCAAACGCCAGAGGTCACCAAGGTCGCCACAATGCTTAAAGCTACGCACTGCTAGGTCAACAAGATCTAATAGGATCAGGGACCTTCCTACTCAACAAGCTCAAATCGCTGATCCACCGCGCCAAGATCCAATCGCCGCCCTGGCAGAAGCCGTTTCACCGACCAGCATCATGATGATGGACAACCCCTCCAGGGGGAGCTAGGGGGAACCGTATCGACTACCCTCGCCAACACGACCAAGAAGTTGACCAAGATGTCCGAGCGCACATCAACAATCTCCGGGATGCGCGATGTCATATCGACAGCGCCGTTTCTCCCGCCATGAAGAGGAAGTACGCCGGCGTCAAGAATACGAGCAGGAGTTTGGTAATCTAGATGTGGCCCTCTAGCCACTTAACGCCGGCAATGCTGCAGATCCCGACAGTGACGATCCCGAAGGGCCCCGAGAATTCACGAGATCACTCCGAACACTCTAGTGGCCCCATGGTTTCAAAATCACCGTGGTTGAGCCCTACAAGGGGCGAATGAACCCCACACAGTGGCTACAAGCTTATGCCACCGCTGTGCGCACCGCCGGGGGAGACACCAGTGTCATGGCGAACTATCTTCCCGTCATGCTCACGTCAACTGTGATGAACTGGCTCATGAGCCTCGCCCCAGATTCCCTCGGATCTTAGGAACAACTGAAAGAAGGTCTTCACCGACAACTACATGGCTAAGTGTACTCGGTCGGGCACCAAGCATGATCTGAATCACATTTATCAGAAGCCGTCCGAGCTTCTCCGTAGCTACATCAGACGTTTTTCTGAGATGAGGAATTCTATTCCCAACCTAACGGAAGCAGAAGTCATTACCGCCTTTGTCCGAGGACTCCATCACCATGACCTCCACTCCAAATTCAATCGTAAGCCGCCAAAGGGAATTGGTGAGATGATCACAACCGTCAATCAATACGCCGACGCTGAAGAGTCCGAAGTTCGCTTCAACAAGGATGCAGGCACTCATCGCCCAACTCACCGCAGCGATGACCGCCCCAACAAACGACGCCACAGTGACCGCCACCACCACGACTGCGGCCACCATCAGGACAGTGGCCATGACCGATCGGAAGGGTCCAGAGCTGGTCAATATCACCGCCGCCGACCAGACCACATCGTCGCCACCGTTGACGAACCTCACGCCAAATGCAACTACGATGAGCAATACAAGAAGATCCTCGAAGGACCATGCCCCCTCCATAAGAACAGCAAGCACAAGATGAAGGACTGCCTTTGCTTGGCTAATGAGTTCTAGACCAAAAAGAAGGACGACGACAATGATGACGGAGCCAGAGGTCACCGACCACCTGGGGACAACAACAACGCCTTCTAGGATCACGACAAAGTGGTCACCACTATCTTCGAGGGCCTCGCCACCACCAAGAGCAGAAGAGATCGAAAGCTCACCGCCCACCGGGTGCTCGCCGTCAACGAGGAAGATGCTGTTGCCAACCCTAGCTATCGCCCCTGGTCTGAGGTCCCCATCACCTTCAGTAGGTCTGACCAGTGGGCGAACATCCCTTACATAGGGTGTTTCCCCCTCGTTCTCGATGCAACCGTCAAGAAAGTACTCTTCAGAAAAGTGCTCG